AACTGACAGATTTTAGACAATCACCATGGAATTTTAATTATATACAAGTTCCCCCTCTTTTCATAGAAAGAAATGAACTGTATCTTTAAATCTTAGGATAAAAGATACAACATCATACCTTAATATATGTGAAACTCTAAGACTCAACCAAGCAATAAAAAGCTACAAAAGAATTATTCACCCTGGGTATTACTAACAAAAAGGATTAAACAAATATGTTTGATTTCTTTTCTATCTTCTAAAGCATAAGCTAACTATACTAATAGAATAAAGCTTTAGATTTATTTCTTCTATAATATTTCAAAAGTCTTATCTAATGTAAATTGATAGTTAAATTTTTCTCATTCCTTTGAGGATTTTGTACCTTTAAGCATCCAGCCCTCTTTTCAACAGGGCTAAAGTTGCTCAGACATAGCAACGATTGTGAGGATGGCACAGAACAAAGCATTGTTTCATTTTCTTGTTCATAGAGTTGCTATGATTCAGAATCAACTAAAAGGCACCTAACAGTAACAAAGTAATTTGCCTACTATAGATTTTCTCTTGTTAACAATGTGTCTGTTCCTTCCCTTTTGTTATTGCTTGTCTTCTGTTGTTCCTGTCTGCACCTTCATGGCTTCATCGACATCATGACCATGCCTTTAATCCCCTGTTATCACGTAAGGGGATCTGGGGGCACTGCGGTTAAAACATTGGGCTGCTATCTAGTGGGTTGTCATTTTGAACCTATCAGGAGCTCCATAGTCTGCTTCCATAAATATTTATACACTTGGAAATTCCATGGTGCAGTTCTACTTTGCTCAACAGGATCACCATGAGTCAGAATTGACCTGACAACAGTGGGTTTGATTATTTTTGTTGTTGTTGTTAAGGGCTCCTGAGTCAGCTCTAGCTCATAATGGCCCTATGTACAACATAACCAAAAACACTGCTTGGTTCTGTGCCATCCATACAATTGTTACCATCTTTGAGCCCATCCTAGCAGCCACTGATCAATCCATCTTGTTGAGTGACTTTCTCTTTTTTGCCGACCCCTGCTTTACCAAACATGTTACCCTTCTCCAGGGATTGGTCCCTTCTGACAACATGACTAAAGTATAAGTAAAGTATAAAGTCTGGCAAGTCTCACATCTAAGGAGCATTCCCTCTGGACTTCCTCCAAGACAGATTTGTTCATTCTTTTAGCAGTCCATAATACATTCAGTATTTTTCACCAACGGCACAATTCAAATTCATCAGTTCTTCTGAGGTCTTGTTTATTCATTGTGTAGTTTTCACATGCATGAGGCTATTGAAAATTCCATGGCTTTGGTCAGGTACACCTTAGTTTTCAATGTAACATCTGTATTCACTGACACTTTAAAGAGATCTTTCCCAGTAGATTTGCCCAATGAAATACATCATTTGATTTCTTGACTGCTGCATTGATTGTGGAACCAAGTAGAATGAAATCCTTGAGATCTTCAATCTTTTTTCCATTTATACTGTTACTGCTTTTCAGTCCAGTTGTAAGAATTTTGTTTTCTTTATATTGAGGTGCAATCCCTATTGAAGGCTGTAGTCTTTTATCTCCATCAGTAACTACTTCAAGTCTTTTTCACATTCATCAAGAAAGTTTGTATCATCTGCATATCACAGGTTGTTAATGAGTCTTCTTCTAATCCTAATGCCACATTCTTCATCATATCATCCAGTTTCTCAGATTACTTGCTTAGCAGAAAGATTGAATAAGCATAGTGAAAGGATAAATCTTGATGTACACTTTTCATTTTAAACCATCTAGTATTCTCTTGTTCTATTTAAATAACTGCCTCTTGCTCTGGGCACAGGTTACTCATGAACTAAATGAAGGATTCTCAAAGTCCCATTCTTCACAATATTGCCCATAACTTATTATGATGAACACAGTGATTTTTTTTTTTTTTTTGCATAGTCAATAAAACACAGGTAAGCATCTTTCTGATATTCTTTGCGTTCAGCCAAGATCCATCTGATATCAGTGAAGATCTTTCTTATTCCAAGTCCTCTTCTTTATCTGGCTTGAATTTCTGGCTGCTCTCTGTCAATATTCTGCTTTGACTGCTTTTTAATTATCTTCAGTAAAATTTTGCTTACATGTGACATTAATAATTTGTTCAATAATTTCTTCATTTTCTTGAATCACCTTTCTTTGGAATGGATATAATGTTGATCTCTCTAGCCAGCCAAGTAGCTGTTTTCAAAATTTTCTGGCATAAACAAGTGAGAACCTGAACTCCATTCAGCTTTTTGTACTATGTACATGCTGATGCTTTCCTTCATCCTGAATGACTGTCTTTGTTTTATCTTTGTCCTGTCCATGGCTTGACAAAACTGTCTCTATGGGAGCTCTGTTAGCAGAGTGGCTAAGGCACTTGACTGCTAACCAGAAGGCTGGTGGTTCAAACCCACAAGCCACTCCTCAGAAGGAAGGTTGGGAAATCTACTTCCGTAATGATACTGCCTCAGAAACCCAAGGAGGGGTCACTATGAGTCTGGTCCGACTCGACGGCACATAACAACAACATCAAAAATTGAAAAAAAGAAAAGAAAAGAAAAAAAATAAAAAGAAGTGAGAACCTCTCGAGCTGCATTTGTTTGTTGAAATATTTCAGTGGTTATTACTTCATTTTCTGGAGTCTTTTTTCTTTTTCTTTTTTTCCGACCAGTTCCTTCAGTGCAGCTTGGACTTCTTCCTTCAGTGCCATGGTTCTTGATCATACACTACCTGCTGAAATGGTTGAATGATCACCAGTTATTTTTGGTACAGGGACTCTGTGAATGTTTTCCATTTTCTTGGGATGCTTTCTGCATAATTCAATATTTTGTGCATAGAATCCTTAAATACTGTAACTTGAAACTGATTTTTTTCTTCAGTTCTTTCATCTTTAAACATGAAAGTCAATATGAAGGAAATAGAAATGACATAAAATGTAAATTTTTTAAAAATATGTTCATTTGTTATTCATTATTGCAGATTATCAATTTATTTAAAAAATCTTTTGCCTTGAAGAAGGTTTAAAGATGTAAAATGAATTAGTCACATAAAACTCAAATATATGTGATACATAATATAAGATATAAGGACCTTGCTATTTTTAATGACCTGGGATCTTCCACTCATGCTCTTTGCTAATTTTGCATGGTTACATACAAGACTTTGTCAAACATAAGGACTACGTGAATAAGTGCTATGAGCTTCTACCAAGTCAATTCTAAGAGCTGTAGCCTATGGTACTGCTCATAAAGTGGATGTAGTTTCAGTTCTCAAAACTAAAGTGCCAGTTACTAAAAGCATTTTATGCACAGGTATCTAGCCTTCTATTTCCCCATCAGTGTTGTGTTCCTGTACAAAAGTGCGAAATGAGATTCCCTCCCCTCAACAGAAACTTTATGTCAAAGCACAAGGACATCCAAGAAGCTTAATTAGCCATCATCTTTCAGCACTTTCCACTCTGTGCAAAATCACAAGAGGTATTGGTTCACTTCCTTAGAGGGTCTAGCAATGTATTCATGTTGCCATTTGTTTTTGGAAATTTTTCAAGCATCAGAAATATTAACCAGAGGCTTTTAGCATCATCATCTAATTCTTCTCTGTCTTTCCTCATTTTCTCATCTATCTTCCCTTCTGTATAATGGTGATTTTGCTAGCCAATGGAATTATTAGAATCAGCTTAACAGATATATGAGTTAGGGATATATTTAGTTGGGTTTGCTGAAATATATTTACATGTATTTTAGTTAGAGGAGAAGAAAAGTTTGAAAGAATAAAGGGAGATGCTAGTCTTTGGAGTATTCTTCCAAATTTTGCAGTTCACATGAAAAAATAAAAAATAAATAACTTGATGTATTCCTAAATTAAAAAAAAATATCCCAAAATTTGAATGATACTACTACTAATAAAGGAGCTCTGGTAGCATAGTGCCTAAAGGACTTGACTGCTAACCAGAAGGCT